TAGACTGAGAACACATTATTTGAAAAATGTGTTGCAACATGTTGCCATTATAATCCTGTGACAAACTGTTCCTCGCAGTTAATGCTAAGAGCCACTTCTCCATATATTCAACTATATCATGTTAAAAAGACTCCACTGTTCATTTGGCAAAAATTTGGTTAATCAAGGTTGACTTCTGGCTCAACTAAACTATTGAAAGCTAGCTATGCTAAACTTAGAGGTGTTTTTGCCAAGTAAAATTAGAAAGGAACATGTCTAATTAATACCATAAAATTAATATTTATAAAAGAAGGGCAGTAAACAAAAAATCTGAGTGATCGGGAAAAAGAAAACATCCAGAAGTAATGATGCCACAGAGTGTATTTTCCAGCATATCTTCTCTTAAGAAAATATGGGTTTGGTTTCGTGCGATTAGGTTTGTCATGTGTCGTCAACCGCAACAGAAAAGTGGGAGCAAACAGCCCTTGAGCATTTAGTACAATCACCATACAGGAGTGGCTATATCCCCTTTTTTAGATGTGTGCTGGTAAGTGCAATAAGGAAAAAAAAATTCTCCAAGACTGAATGCCACAAGATTTAGAGAAGGAGAGAGAGAGAGAGAGAGAGAGAATGACAAAACACTAGAGATCATGTCTGAAAGACTAATTATACTTGAGAGATGTAAAACAGAATGGAGATTGGATTATATTCTCTTTTAAGTTTCCAAAATTTCATTTGAGAAATGTATTTACATTTTAGAAGCTTAGACTGTCACAACTATTCTGAGATACTTAAAGCTTCCTCTTACTTATCAACACTTACATTTATACACCCAGTCCTTGGGATTTGCTGATTATTAATTTTTACTGACATTTTTAATGTCATAGTACCTATGGCTGACTCTCCTATTTACCATCTACATGAAGCTGCTAGTGAGGTCATTTGTGATAAAGGAATATGCTGGTGCTTATCTCTACACTGGGCTGGTCAAGTGATGCCATGGAGCTTTGTCTTGATGTTTATAGCCTATGGGGTGCTGGATAGGAAAGAATACGCTTCAGTTCAATTATAACCAAACCAAATGGCTCTGGGATTGAGGACTTATGGGGTCTTCCCAAATAGAACCACTGTGTTATACACAGCTACAGATGGGATTGCACTACCCAAATAGAACCACTGTGTTATACACAGCTCTAGTGTGAGGAATAGGTGGCAGCCTTGGCCAAAATAACTTTGTGTGGCACACTTCGTTGGACTAAGAGGCTCTGCTAACAGTTTTCATGTGTTAGTCACATCTCAAATGAACTACATTTATAAAATATATAAAATACAGTTTACATGGGACTGCTCTTAAAAAACATCTGGAAGCAGCAGCTGATTGAAAATTGCAGTGTGAGCAATTATAGGTGTTCCCCTGTGCCTTCATGTTACCATTTTGCTTCATGAGCTCCCTTGATTGTCAGTATTCTTCTAAATGCAATTGAAGGTGCTTATGGTCACTTATCAATCCCTTCATGGAGTGGGACCAAGTTATCTATGGAGCCAGACCTCCCCTATCATTTCTATGTATTCTCTTAGATGCAGGAGGAGGAGCAAACCATGGATCATATGAATCAAGGAATACCTTCATAGGAGACCCAGGATTTTCTACTTTAGTGTCTGACCTTTGGAACATCATTCCTTAAGAAAATTACATCAGGCTGGTATTGTATATCAGCCTTTCACGAGGCTCCAAAGACATGCTTAAGTTTCTGAGCATGGGAGCTGGACTACTGGTTAGAACCTGTGAGATAGTTATTGTTGTTTTGTTTTGTTTTAATCTTGGCTGTAGGTCATGTATCTTATTTTCTCATTGTTTTTGTATTTTAACTTGTTGGCCACTTAGAATCCCCATTCGGTCATGTAAATTGAACAAGTAAACAAATATATGATCAATCAACAGCTGGATGCATTTCTGGCCCTGTCTGCCTATACAAAATGATCAATAAGGGATGCAGATGTTGAATGACGTTTAAAGATGAGACTTTGACACAGTGCAGTTCCAATCGGATAAAGAAGAAGACTGACAAGGACAACCACTGGTTTATGGTGTGATTGGCCATGTTCTAACTCTAAGCATGTACTAATCATGGATGAGACTTGACTCATTGAATTTTCTTTCTCTGTGTGTATATTTCTGTCTCTCTGTCTCTGTCTCTGTCTCTGTCTCTCTCTCTCTCTCTTTCTTTTTAACAGTAGTGTTAGAAATATCACATATAAACTTATAATTTTCCCAGAGACAATATGATCCTCCAACTATCCCTCAAGAAACATTTAAAATTTTCTTAAAGAAGTAGTCTTAATATATGAGAGACTCTTCCCTCCCTCCTTCCTCAATCAAATCAACCACATTCTCATTTCTGATTTTTTTTTTTTTTTTTGCTAAATAGGCTGTAATTGAGAGAGGAATATGGCAGCCCTTGCAGGTTTTTCAGTACACTCTGTTCGAAGGGCTGTTTGCTGTGCGGGCCGCAGGCTTCAGGCCTTTGAAGGGTTGAATACCATCTTTTGATATACCATGACTGATGGGACATAAAGAAGTTTTTACAACGTTGATACACGGTGTGAAAAAGATCACAGAAAAAGGGTTAGAAATATGAAATGAAATTAAAAAGAAAAGCTGAGTGGGGGGGCAAGCAAAATAATGTTTGCTACCATTCAAAACAGACTTTGCCATTGCATTTCTGGCAAGAATCAAATGGTTCAGATTCCCTTTGGAAGCTACTCTAAATCAACAATAGTTTCATAAATCGCCTTTCTTCACCAGATGTTATCAAATGTGGAATTTTTACTGATAAGCAAGGCTTAGATGTTGGCTCACTTAATGCAATAACATTTCAGAACTCACATTGTCACTAAGGTTTGAAGAAATCTTCCCCAGCCTCCTTGGACTTGAAATGAATTTCTAAATCAATATCTCATATTTGACTTCTGTGCCCAATGCTTTTGGAAGGGAGGCTTAAGTTAACATCTGAAAAGGTTTCAAACCTTTCTTGCTTCATAATTAAGCTTCTAGTCTGGAAGTCACCATCAGAATATGCATGACTGCAATAAAGTTGGAGAGATACTGCAGTGATTCCAATCAAAGCATATTTGGGCTTACTAGAATTTCTTTTGCTTACTAAAAGGCAGATAGAACTTCATTCTGGGCCTTTCTAACATGAAAAAGTTATTCAAAAGCCTAGTCATAAATCTTTACAAAGGCCACGTTAGACTTATTAACTGCATTTTGAAAACATAGTTGCTTATGAAACAGTTTAAATAGTGCCAGATGATATGCACATGATACATGTCCTCGACGGAAGAAAAATGTTTCTGCTAAGGGAACATTATTTATCTTATGTGGTTACGACTGTTAGATACAAATAATCATTTCAGAACTGATAGAAACAGTCCAGAAGTTGTTGCTATTGTTAATTCTCTGTTAGAGAAATGCTTAAATTGTTTTCATATGGGCACTACCATCTATCTATCTATCTATCTATCTATCTATCTATCTATCTATCTATCTATCTATCTAATCTTTATCTTTATCTTTATCTTTATCTTTATTATTTTTACAAATAACTCAAGGCAGCGACCATATCTACATATCTTCCTCTTCCTATTTTCCCCACAACAACCACCTTGTGAGTGGGTTGGGCTGAGAGAGAGAATGACTAGCCTGAAGTCATCCAGGTGACTTTCATGACTAATTCATGGTCTTCTGCTTTCTAACCTGGTGCCTTAACCACTAGACCAAACAATCCCTTATGCATCTGGTTGTAGAAAAGTTCTTAAATAAGATTTTCCTGTTCATATTCCAGTTCTACGCTCCCAGTCTAACATATAAATGAGTGGAATAATATAAATGTTTTTCCAAGCAATATACGATACATACTTGGAAACTCATAGGCCCAAAAGCACCCCATCTTGATATTTTATAGTTAGATGTTTTGGAAAATCAGAAGTGCTAAGTCAAAAATCCGACATCAGAAAGCTTGCAGAAATTCTGAGGCTGTAACACAGTTTTTCAAGTAAAAACTGCAGAATGTGAAGCAGTGAAAAAAGCTGGTTCGTTTTAAAGCAGAGAACTACAAGAGAACAAAAGGTGAACGTTTTAACCTTTTGGAAGATAAATATTAACTATATCATGGCTCTTTATCTCTTCATAGTGAGCCATTTTTGAGCAGCAAATAAAACCATTTATTTTCCAGGAAACTAAAATTCCTCAAATTAAACCTCAATGGGGAAAAAATAACCAATTGAAACAATATCGTATCAGAAGAAAAAGGAGAGATCTCTGTCCCAAATTCTTCCCTTTCCCTTCAGTTAAGAACACTGAATGAAAAGATAACAATTCCATCCAAGAGGTCTAACAGAAATGCATTTCTAGTGCACTTTTTGGAGACAGGAGTGGGCAAGAGGAGGTTTCTGGATATTTATTTATAAGTTATTCTCTGTTGGTGCTTTTTTGAAATGGGTACTTTTTAAGCTTTAAATTAAGGATTAATCTTAATCTCAGGAAGAAGCAGATGACATTGAAATGTTAGATATATAAAACCTAGCTTATTGAAGGGCAACAATACAATCAGAACTTTTCACATATGGCTCTGTCATTGTCTTCATAACTTATTTTTGACTGTTTTGAATAGTAGCAGAGAGGCTGGATCAATGAGGATGTGGTTGATCAAAAGATGGACCAAACAGCATGTCTTACACAAAACTAACCAGTTTAAGAACAAGAAAGGAAGCTTTTAAAAAAAAACTTAAAACAAAACACATTATCCATAACCAGGAAGCAACATAAAACCTTCATGCAGTGATGGCTGGAGAAGTTCTCCATGATTAATATTATTTCAAAAAGTTATTTAGCGGAGCTATAATTCAACTCAACCAGATAAAGGGTGGGAGAGGATGGAAGGAAGACAGACAAGAAAACAAAACAAGCTGAAATTAAAAGCCAAGTGATGGGGAAGGGAGGGACCACTTTTGCACAATACCTAGATTGACCATGAGTTTCACCCGGCCTCCATCTAGTTCAAGCCGTAGTGTATCAGCTGAATCACGTGATGTTGTGGCCATCAGCAGACCATACGCACGCTGGGACATGAAGCGGAAGGACACATCCTCAGCCTCTGTATGCATGACCATAGGCATAACAATTTTCATATACATGCTGCCATCATAACTCAGGACGGAGGCCTCTGAAGAAAAGAAAAAGATCAATAAAACAAATTACAATAGTTTTAGGCATTTTAAAATTTGGAGGATATTCATAAATATTATTTCACTGTAGCATACAAATAACAAACATTCCCTGGTATTGTATATTCAGTTGAAAATATTAAGAGTGAAATTACCTTAAAACAGTAGAAAAATAACAGTAGAAAATTGTATTAGAGAAAAGATAAAACCAGTGACTACAATAATGGCAATCAATATAGAACCATAAAGTAACTCCACTTGAAGCAATATACATTGTTTTATTGGCAGAATTTCTTGAAAAGGGCTTCATATTAAAATCTTAATAACATGATACATTAATTTGAGTAGAGAATCTCTACAGATATCATGGTTTCATAATATTTATCTAGCAATAGCTAACTTTATATTCATTGACTAATTGGCATACTTATACCAACTACAACTTTAAACTTTTTCCAAACATAGTTTAATGTATAGTACAGTGATGGCTAACCTTTTTGGCACCAAGCGCCCAAAGTACTTGCATGCACACCCCAAAATGCAATGCATGCACCCCGCACACATGCCCCCTTCACGTGTGTACCCTGCCCCCACATATGCGCATGCAACCCTGCCCATGCGCGCAACCCCCGCATGTGTGTTCCACCCCCGTACATGCATGGCAGAGACCCAAAGATCAGCTGGCCAGCGGGAGGCACACGCACACATGCGTGGTGGAGCTGAGCTGGGCCGATGGCTCATGTGCTCAGAGAGAGGGCTCTGCATGCTGCCTCTGGCACATGTGCCATAGGTTCGCCATCACGGGTATAGTATATTCAAAACATGAACTCAAAACCACTTGTTAAATCTGACCAATTCAAAACAGTGATACTTAGTGTATCAATCTTAAATATGCAAACATACTCTTTGCCTAACTGTCTGCTTGCACATCCAGCAATAGATGAAGATGGAGCATCCAGACTACTAACAGACTCTGTCAGAGAGTGTGTAACCATTTCTACAATACAACAATCTGCAATTTAACAACAATCTGTAATTCAATTCAAGTTCAGGTTCTTACTGATCATCAGGAGCATGATGATCAAGAATCAAGACAAGATTCAAGGGCACTCATTGTTTCCTTGAAATTAGATGGCAAGAGTCAAAGAAGGTGGAAGCTATCAGCATTTTGAAGTTAAAGGTAAAGATACCCCTTGCACATACATGCCATCTCTGGGGGGGTGGTGCTCATCTCCGTTACAAAGCCGAAGAACCAGCGCTGTCCGAAGACATCTCCATGGTCATGTGGCCAGCATGACTAAACACCGAAGGTGCACAGAACACTGTTACTTTCCCACCAAAGTGGTCCCTATTTTTTTACTTGCATTTTTACATGCTTTCAAACTGCTAGGTTGGCAGAAGCTGGGACAAGTAACAGGAGCTCACTCCATTATGCAGTGCTAGGGATTCGAACCGCCAAAGTGCCGACCTTTTGCTCAGTGTCTTAGTCACTGATCTACTGTGTCCCTTACAAAATACATTTTGAAGATACTTGATTCTAATATATCATGTTCAACTTATCATATTTGGAAGCATTATGTGATGATCTATCTCCTTTTACAGGTCCATAATGTTGGGACGGGTGGAACAAACAAGTACCAGCAGCAGCAAAGTGGATGGATTCAAACACAACAGTAACAGATGGATTGATAGGAGACCTAAAAACTCCAGGCTGGGGATGGATTACCCTGCAGATATTATGTCATGTAATTGTTTAATGTTGACCTCAACTTGATAGCAATCAGGTAATCAGTAGATGGGTAGGGTATAGGATCCGATTTCTTGACATGTGAGTGTTATTCCAGGTTGCTGGAAAAGCTATGTTCTTTTCTCAGAGTTCCTGTTGTGGTAAGCAAAGCACAATAAGTTTAATAATGCTATTTCCAGATGCTGGTGAAACCCAATGTTCTCATATTAGACATAAACTTATTTGCTGCATGTACCGAATCGAAACACACAGGGCTGCTTGGTTTTGCTTTAGATTCTATTAGACTGTGCAGTTAAGCATGAAATGGCACTTTCTGACACCTTTAGTTCAAATGTGACCTGCATGAAATAGTCCCTGTGCTAGTGTGTGCATATGCATACATTGCTGATAAGTGTCAGAGTAAGCAAAGGGAATGCTGTCAGAGTATACATGAATTAACCAGCATAAGAGGGATCAGATATTTCCCTTCTTTAGGTACAATAGGATGTATTGCATGGTAGAAGCATTTTGTAATTAGCAAGAACTTTGGAGATATAAAAATCTGAAATGTTTGGAGGGCGGAGCTGGCGTCGCGACGATACGGTATGCGATCTTGGAGGTCTGAGATCGCTGCCGATATCTTTGCTCCTGGACGGTCCTATCAGATCTAAACCATCCCGAAGAGATGGAGAAAGTGAAGAGCGCATCCTGTCGATCCCAGGGATACCACAAAGTCCCTGGTAGATCCAGGAGAAGCTCTTCTTGCCAGCGGCAAAGAGTTAGCCATTAAAGCTGCTGAAGTTGGGACAGCTCCGAAACGGAAGAGAACAGAAAGAGAGAGTGTGCTGGTTTGGTGAGAACTTTTTCTTTATTCTAAGATCTGAAAGGACACTCTAAGGAAAAGAAAGAATCTGTAAAAGTTTTGACAGAAGTGATTAAGCGGCGATTTTAAACAGGAATGTCAAAGTAATGTTTTTTTTCCTCATTGCTGGATTTTCTATACATGATCTTGTATTTTGAAACTGGACTGGTTTTTTCATTTACATCTATTTTTTTTCTCCTTTTTGATTTTGTAATATTTTAGGCTAGAGGCTCCCTTTAGTTATCTCTTTTTTTAAAATATCTTTTTCTTTTTTTATTAATTCTTATTATATCTTGCTTGAAAAAGGAGGGGGAAAGTGGGAGCAAAGAAACTTTGTAACACTGCCAACTAGAGGCTTGAAAATATTCTATTTCCCTGTGACCAGACAAAGCTGAGAGGGAAAGAACTGAGACTCTTTTTCAAAGACATTGCTATTTGATAAGATAGAGGGAAGAACATGGGAGAGTATTATTGCAGGTGCTCTTCTGGGATTTTATCAACAGCTGGAGTCTGGTGTTGAAACCGGGGGGAAAAAGAGGTGATGGGTTTTTGTAGAGGAGAGCTATAATAAGAGCCTTGGATAATTAAGCAAAGTGCAGTGTGCTCTTTTTACTTTTTCTAAGTTATGCTATCCCTCCTCACCAGCTTTATTGTATTTCATTTTATCTTTTTTTTTGTAATAACTATTTGGGTTTTTGGCTTTGTTGGAGCTTGTCTTTGTTTTTCTTTTTTTCTTTAGAAGTCCAATCTCTACGTTTGTTTTTTTATTTTAAAGGGAAAGCCTTCAAGTATTAATGTTTTTTTTTTTAGGGGAATGGCCTTTCCCCCCCCTTTCCTGGTGTTTTTGTTTTTTCATCTACCTTTCTGGTTTGTTCTTATGCACTCTTTCCTATTTGAGACCTTTTAATTGGATCGAGGTGTTGAAGAACCTGAAGAATTTTTCTTTTTCCTTTTTTTCCCTTTTTTTTTCAAGCCTTTCTCTTCATCTAACTATTGATTGGATTAAGGTATACAAGAACCTGAAGAAATTTTATCCTTTCTTTTTTTTTTATCATTATTATTGGGCTTCTTTTTTCTACTATTTTTATTTTTGAACTATAATTGGTTACTTCACAATTGGATTGGGGTTTGGAGGAACCAGAAGATTTTGAATTGCTTAAAATGAGTGGGAAGTTTGCGGCTCCTGGTTCTTCAACTTCTACTTCTTCCATCTGGAGGACAACGTTTGGTGCAGACTATGTTAAAGTAGGAAAGAGAACAAGAAGGAGTGACTGTGCAGATGATTATGCAAGGAATTCAAGGTATTCAAGCAAGATCAGAAAATATTGAAAAGAGAATAGAGAACATTGAACAAAGAACAGAGAACATTGAACAAAGAGCAGGGAAAACCGATGAAAAAGTGGAGAACATTCAACAAATGATGTTGAAGTATGATGAGAGATTCCAAAAAATTGAAGAAGAAGGTGGACAGGGAGACGGGAGGATTGGAGATATTGATGGTGGATTAATGGTGATTGAACAAGATAAAAGTGGTATGTTGAGATGGGAGATGGATAGATCAGAATTCTATCTTAGATTACAAAATGTACAGGAAGAAAAAGGACAAAACTTAGCTGAGATAGTGATAGAGATACTGGCTGAAGCTTTGGAGATAACTCAGGAGAAGATGATGGATAGAATGGATGAGGTTTGTCGAGTTTTCACAAGATATGCGATGAGAAGTAGCTTACCAAGAGAAGTTCACATTAGATTTACAAAGAAAGCAATTGAAATGCAGGTATTGCGGGTGGCAAAAGAGAAAACACTGAAATATAAAGACAAGGAGATTGTGGTCTTGAAACAAATGCCCAGAAGAGTGAGAGAGATGAGAGGAGAATACCAATTCCTGACTAAAATGCTACTTTAAAAAGAGGTGAATTGTAGATGGCTGATTCCAGACAGCTTGATGTTCGCATGGCAAGAACAGAGACATAGAGTTGACTCAATTGAAAAAGCGGAATTATTTTATACAGAATTTTTTGGAGGGAAAGGGGAAGAGGCAGAAGGAGAGATCTCGCTGGTTGAGTTCTGGGAGGACTGCCAAATGGCAACTGAAAAAGAAGAAGGTGCAGTTGGTGGAAAGGTGGAAGCCAGAGAACAACATGAACTAAGGTCTACGAGAGCTGCTAAACTTAACTACAGGATATCACCATGGAAGAGAAAAGATTGATTACAATTGATATAAATGGACTTGGCTCAGCTGTTGAAAGAAGGAAAACCTTTCATAAATTAGAGAAATTAAAATTTGATATAATTTGTCTACAAGAAGTACATATTGAAGAACGATATGAACAATTGTTGATACAGCCAAAATTAGGGAAAATATTTGCTTCCTTGACACAATGTAAGAAAAGAGTGCCGCCCCCAAATGT